ATTTAGTAGCATAAAATTCTAATAGCAACTAATTATTATAGGAACTGGGAACAATATTCACACTGGTCCAATATCTAGAGACACTGGAAATTTGGGCTGCTTTTGTTATATGAAATCAAATACCGCCTCTCCATGAAAGAATATTATGCTGACTAAAATCTAACATAGATAATGGTCATATTTCTTCTGGAATCCAGGGCGGCTTCTAATTCTTCAGTCTAATGAAAATTCTGCTTTCTGTATCAGAAACTCTTTTGTGCTACACTTACAAAGGCCAGGTTCAGAAAGGCACATCTCTTTTATACAAGTCAGCCATGCGAATATCAATGAGTGCTTCGTGTAACCCGGGTAGACGTTATCTCTTAGGAATGTTACACAGTCTGAAAACATCCAGCACTGCCGGTAAGTGTTTAAGCGAAGTGAGGTGGGCTGGATGGGAAGCTCTCATATGCTCTTCTGAGCAAACTGGGAAAAGCATGGAAAGCACACAGGTCAGAAAACTGAAGTTTTGCCAAGTTAGCTTAATCAGATAACACTATTGATTAATTGAATCATAAGTTATTATGGTATTTTACAGGAGTAAGGAGAAAAAGTGATACCTGGAAACATATTATTTATCATTCAATATAAAGGAACAAAGCAAGAAGGAGTGAGGTAGAGGCATGGGTAAATGGAATGAACAGTAATTTTGGGGAGGGGAAATAATAAGTTATTATAGGACATCAAGAACAGAGTGTTCAGCCAAAGACTACACCTGTTCAGCACACACACACACACACACACACACACACAGAGAGAGAGAGAGAGAGAGAGAGAGAGAGAGAGAGAGAGAGAGAGAGAGAGAGAGAGAAGTATATGAAATGGAAAGGAAGAAAACATGAAGTGTTTTCAAAGGATGTTTGAGACTCCAGGAGCAGCCAAGGTGAGATCTCAAGAGTCATGTGAAAGAGTCATGGAAAACAAGGTAGGCAGAATTGAAGAAAATAAATCAAGGATAGTAATGGACAGGTAGCTATTGAAAAAAAAATCAAGATAGATACAAAACATTATTTATATTTCAGTGCCTGCTTATTTTACAAAATATCTTAATCTGGATTTTTGTGTTTTTTTCTTACTTGCAACAGTTAAGTGGGGTGTGGTTGTGTTCCATGTTCTGGGTGGAATGAGAAATAGTATTGGTGGAATAGATTTGTGATAAAATGATTGCTTTGTATGTTAAAAATTCGATAATAATGAGTATTA